GGAATTTATATTTGTTTAATATAGATAAACAGTTTTGACTTGTCACAGCTCTTCTAAGCAACGTGTGTTTGTTAGCATAATCCGCGTTAGCCTCCAAACTTGTTTGGCAGCATTTTCAAGAGCCGTTGGCGATCGTCCCTTGAATAAATCCAAGTTAGGGAGAAAATAGTGTGGACACCTCCTACACTGCAAACATGAGATGAGTTGAAGGAAAATTCCATTAATTCTATCACCGAGACACGATTCATCCCATTCTATTTCTCGAGGATGCTTCTCGCATTCGTATAAAAGCAATGTTTTGATGTGATAACAAGTGACTGGGTTGCCGGGTAAATCTAGATGTCGATCACGTAATGTTTTAGTATGCTCAAGCATCTACGACGACACCCGCCTTGCAAGAGGCGATTTTCTGCTTCTAGAAAACTTAATACCCAGGCATCACCTTCCATGGCAGAATTTTTTCCTTGGAGAGCCACACATTCTTTTGAAAGCATATCGAATCCTTCGGTTTTAACTTCGGCTACTATATTAGGATGTGGCCAGGGAATTTGGGGACTTGGCCAATGTGCCGCTGAACGCGGCCACAGACCTGCACATTTAAACGCCGGCGTTATTTGCACTATAATCCTTTCACGTATACGTAATTTTACTTCTGTGGTGTCAGCTATCATTTTGACGCTGTCTCTATATGAACACTTATCACATGCTTGTGCCACTAAAGTCTGAAATCGCGATCGTATCTTCCTGGCTGACAAGTACCCGGAAGCGGTGATGAATTCAACCCAGAGTGACATCGAGCGTTTTCTGCCGTCGCTCAACTTCAACACCGCGCATCCTGGCAGTGTTCCGTCGTCGACAAAATTAAGTACTCCCATTTGGTTGAGATAGATGACAATCTCGAACTCGTTCGGCGATATCACCTCGAGACCGTCATAACGCCCGTTGTAATCCGTGAGCGAGGAGATGAATCTCGGCTCTTGCACTTCGACCTCTTTGAGGACATTTTGCACAACTCTGCAGACTTCTTGTATTGTCTTATTTATTTGTCCTTTTCGAGTTTGAACTCGTTCGTTGCAATATTTGTTCACTTGATGAACCATACGCATTTGCGCTGCCATCATGTCCGGCGGAACCAACATGACTGGTCGGCTGAGCGCGTGTGCTAACGTCTGACGGCTGACGGCTGACGGCTGACTCGGCTTTCGGATAGCGACTGAATTGTATTGTATGGTCGCAGTCTTGGCGGTCGCTATCGACGTAACTTGGGGAACGTTCCGGAACACGCCTCTGCGGCGCGAGGCTCCCACTCGGCGGTTCAGAGGCCACACCCAGGCGCGCGCTTTCCCTGTCCCGGAATGGCGCGCATGCATTATTCATCGACTTCGAGCCGAGCGACGGATCGTCGAGGCGCGCGACTCGGTATTCGCGTAGACATTGCTTTCGAACGAATGAAAAGACGAAATTTCATATCGTCTAACAATAAGATTTAACCTCAAATATTTGAAAAATATGTATAACGCAATCTTAATTAGAGTTAATACACAACAGTTCGATCTACTTATTCTTTGTTAATTTGTTGCCTAATGATCATAAATCATTCCAATTTGCTGTTGAAACTGTACCAATTGGCAATCTGCATATTTAATTATTCTAATGGAATAATAAATAACTAATAGCTGGTATTTGTTTTATTCAGTAATTGGCTAACCCTTGTGGTTATATTATAAATTATTTCATTAAGTAATTTATTATTGTGAAAGACAATGAAGACATTAATAATGTTTCTGTAATTGAATAAACGCAATGCTACGTTCTAAATATTTTTAATCAGCAAATAGAACGGCACGCGATTTATACTGATAGATTTAAATTTTATCTGAATATATAATATTAATTTATTTTAGCCTCAATAAATACTATTTACATAAATCTTAATGCAATATTTTATGGGCTAGGAAAATAGGAAATCAATAATATAACCCTGAAGTAATTTCACGAAGTGTTGAAACATGCAATATAATCCTATTTATTTTTTTTTATAACTGTGTAAATAAGTTTACATGGTTTTTCACATCTAGCTATCGTAATTTATGAACTTTTGCTATAAGTCTGAGGATCGTACTTTCAAATATTCGTTCGCAAGGCATAAGCCGTCCCCAATTTCGTGCCAAAGCTCCACCGAAAGGCTGTAGTAGTAGTCCTTTGGGGGATTTTCGACAGGGCATAAGTCATCGGCTTTGGCGGGAGTGGAATACGAGCACGAATGCGAATTGGGATCGTCTATAGTAGATATCGTATTCCACATAAAACTTCCCGAAAAAGTAGAAACAAAACAAAAATAAATAATGATAAGTATACTGCTCGGACTGATTTAGACCGTAATCCATTGAGAAAATGTATAGTAAAATCGATTGCGCAATACACATACGTTTTTTGGTATTCACATTAAAACCGTTTAATGGGGAGACATTTAACACTTAATTATTTGCATTTTAAAAAATACGTTGAGAAGTACAAATCCATATTCGTTAAAATATTACTTAAATTTTTGTTGGTTTTTTATATCAATTTGTGAATATAACATAATGTTATCATAATGCGAATATAGCAATGTTACCATTGTAAACATAACATAATGTTCTCTTTAAAAATTCCTTTTAAAATAATGTCTTTTTTCATTCTTTAAGTCCATGTTGCTAATAATTCTTTCATTTTTGAACAAAATTATTCTTTGAAAAATAACAATGTTGTTATACCGAAAATAATTGTTTTATGTATATTTTATATAGGAATATAAAATAAGTATTGTTATGTTCACAAATTAGTATAGAGAACGCATAAAAATGTTAATAAACTAGTAATTTCATCAGTGGTGTTGTATTTTCATAAAGTCTTGTAGAACAATAATTTAGATATCTTATCCATTTTGTTTTATTTTTTTTATTTTTATATTGTGTATTTTAATTAATAAAACTATTTTACCATCTATTAAAATATGGAGATTAACATAAACTATTTGACATACCGTTTTGGGTATCATTATATCAAGCAGTTTTACGTTATAGACCAAAAATAAATTATATCACAATTAGAAAGGTCAACTATTGGGTTGTCTGGTATAATAACAATTGTGAAATACTTAACACTTACAATTAGATAGTTGTAATTGCTGTTCAATGTGTATAAAAAAACTGTAGGAAAGTCTTTTGAAGTTGACGCTGTTAAGCGTACGCCAAAAAAAATGTGAATCCATATTTTGTTTCAGCAAAAAAAGTGATCTTGGATCACAGTTAAATATTTATTTTTTCTTTTTGTATTATAATTATCTTGTGCCATACTTGGAAAGTCGACATCAGCGTCTTAAACCTGAATGCACCTCGGGTGTATTAATATATCAGAATGATATCGAGAGGTAATTGAGTCGTATCATTTATTACTTGTTCTCATTAGGCACCTCGATCGTTAAGCATTTAACAAGCAACGAAATTTTTTACGTTTCAAGGCAATTACATTTAATGTTATTGGAATTTACTTTGATCTTCCTGAGAGACAAGCCCTTAATAATCATTAGTAGATAGATTGTAGAAATCATTCAGTTTAGTCCAGTGCATGCTTAGTATTTTGAAAAAAGAGTTTTATAAATATTTAGCTAAATTGTAAAATTGTGGTCTGTAGCTTGACGCCTTAAAGCAAAGTACTGGAACTATCCATTTTATAAACAAGTGTTAAATAATAGATGAAAATGAATAAAAACATTGAAATTTAATACATATGAAAATGGTGTGGAACTCTCAAGAACTCAATGATATGCAAAAAAACAAAATCAATTATATAGCTTTTATAACAACGTTATCGTAGCAATTTTTGTGAAATATTTGACAAATAAAGTTTTAGTTTTTTTTTCAAATTGTCAATGAATAATATTTTGATTAATAAAAAAAATACTAACCTACTAGAACGTATTGTAACTTTTTGTGGCACTAACAAAGAATTATTTAACATTGGTGCTTTAAATATATTGGTCCAGCCTACTGCGAATATAACCACATTTTTTCGTTATGTTTTATGATTACGGCTTAAAAACATCAATAATTTTAATCTTTTATTTAAAGGCTCTCATTTGCTGTTATTCATTTTATATGCAATTAACCTTTACAAACTTAAATTAAGTGAAAGCTTATACCTCATACATTATAAATTCCTTAATAAAACTTGAAATTTTACCCGAACTGCTTAATTGCTTGCATAGATTGAATGTTATTTGTTTTTAATGTGATTATAAGCCTTGTAATCTTATATTTTCTTTACACTTCTCGTTTATTAACACAGTTGTATAGAAGTTGTATAAAAACCCCAATTTTGTTTTATGATACTGATTTTTGGTCACAAGTTGATGATTTTATTTTTAATTTTGATGTATCCTGTAGCCTTACTATTATCCTGTGAAAAAAAATTATCCACTGAATAAAAAACACAGAGCTTGTTTTATGAACAATATATTAAATTTTTAGTATTGGTGACTATTTCTATGCAAAATCTATAAAATTTCGTGTTTTAAAACACGTTCTTTTCACAGTGATACTATATACAATAACATGGTGATTACTTATAGTTTTTAGTTAACATTTATTTTTATAATAAAAATTATTTCATCACTCGATCACATATTTGCAGATATTTGATATCATTTTATATGCGCTATATGGAAAAACTTATAACATGCACGGTTTTGTTACTAATTTATATATTGAGTAACATTTTTTAAACCACATTACATTTATTTGAAATTAAATTTCAACTTACAAAACTATAATCACAATTATATTTATAACTAGCATCATTTTTAGCACCTTAGCTATTGGAAAGTATTCTTATCCGAACTAATACGTATTTACAACGAATTGATTATTTAATATGTACATTATTATTTACATTTTTATATGAGTATACATTTTAATATCCGTATTTTTATGTCTTCATAGTTAATTAGAATTTTCTTTTTACAATTTTTCTAAAGATCTCGAATTAGTCAGCATTTCTCTAGTAAGTCTCCACACTTGTTTGGCCGCGTTTTCGAGAGCCGTTGGAGATCGTCCTTTGAATAGATCGAGATTAGGCAGAAAATAGTGCGGACATCTCCTGCATTGTAGACACGAGATAAGTTGAAGAAATATACCATTGATTCTATCGCCGAGACATGATTCATCCCATTCAATTTCTCGAGGATGCTTTTCGCATTCGTATAATAGTAATGTTTTGATGTGATAACATGTGACTGGATTTCCGGGTAGATCTAGATGTCGATCTCGTAATGTCTTCAATATGCTCAGGCAGCGCCTACGACATCCCCCTTGCAAAAGTCGATTTTCTGCTTCTAAAAAACTCAATACCCATGCGTCACCTTCCATCGCAGATTGCTTGCCCTGAAGCGCCATACTTTCTTTTGATAGCAAATCAAATCCTTCGGTTTTGACTTCGGATACTTGATTTGGATGAGGCCAAGGTATCTGCGGGCTGGGCCAGTGAGCTGCCGATCTTGGCCATACTCCGGAACATTTGAATGCAGGTGTAATTTGTACAATGTAGCGTTCCCTTATTCTTAATTTTACTTCTGTCGTGTCGGCGATCATTTTGACGCTGTCTCTGTAGGCGCATTTATCGCATGCCTGGGCTACTAAAGTCTGAAACCGCGACCTTATCTTCCTGGCTGACAAGTAACCGGAAGCGGTGATGAATTCGACCCAGAGTGACATCGAACGTTTTCTGCCATCGCTCAATTTCAACACCGCGCAACCTGGCAGGGTGCCGTCATCAACGAAATTAAATACGCCCATTTGATTTAAGTAGAGCACGACTTCGAATTCGCCCGGCGCTATTACTTCAAGTCCCTCGTACCGTCCATTGCATTCCGTGAGCGATGAGATGAAACGCGGCTCCTGCACTTCGACCTCCTTGAGCACGTCTTGTATGACCTTGCAGACCTCCCGAATCGTCTTGGATATCTGATTCATACGGTTCTGGACACGTTCGCCGTAGTATTTGTTGATCTGGTAGAGAATCTTGGATTGTGCGGACATCATATCCGGTGGCACCAGCATGTTCACGGCCGTGCTTCGTACTGATCGTTCGGCCACCTCGCCGTCGACGGAAGGCCGTCGGTCCGCGCGAATCTGCGCCGAAGCGGCCGCGCTCTCGGGGAGTCGCCCCGGTGGCTTTCTCTTCGCTTCGCTCCGCCTAGCGCGATCCCTCCCGTCCGCCGGCACAAAAGCGTCGGGCTTCTTCAACCCCGGGGGACATTTATACCCATACACGAACATAAATAATAGACATACCGGTATATAATAACATTTTTTTATTACGAATATGTATTAAATACAGCCAGATAATAAAAGGACTGTACTTGCACTTACGTACGCTCCCTAATAATCAAATAGAAAATTTTAAATCCTTATTAATTAATTTAGATACTATTATCAAAATTCGTGGCTAATTATATCAACATCTAAAATTTATTACCAACTTGTTGAAATATTCCAATAGCGCTGAATGATATATTTTGGTGAGCATAGACAGGTGTTTGACATTTTTTCTATTGTATTCCTAATTGTTGAATTTATAAGAACTCAAGTGAATAATTTTGAAGTTTTGGAATTTTCTTGTTTTGGATTTTTATAAGATGATGGAATTTAAAAAAGCTACAGTTGCATGTTTGTGAGTTTTTAATTCGTGAGTAATTCATTTTTATCTAATTAATTATAGAACATTTTCGATACAGTTTAAATTTCACGTTTTCTATCATGCCAAGCGATATAGCATCTGCTCTTAATTTTGTTATTAAATGATTAAGGGTTGTTACTTGTTAAGAAGGTTGAGTTTGTAGTTTTTCAAAACTTCTAAATCAAATCAAATTATATAGCGCCGGGTAAATTAATTTGAAGATTTATGTAAAAAATTGAGAACCTCTGCTTTAGCAAGTTGCAAGCAAAGTGTCATCTGAGTTATAGTCATCGGCTGCACGACCGAGAAACAAGTAAATAAATATTTAGTATTTTTAAACCCGCCGTCGGTAGCATTATCTTATTATTAGTCGTTGTGGTCGACGGCCGCTGCTATCAGTCAAAACATTTACTATTACTATCGTTTTTATTATAAATGACCACATTTGTATTTATTTATTTATATATTTAGGGAGAAGAGAATAATAATTAGGCGCTACAAATTAGAAATTTTCAGTTTCTGTAATATTCATTAGCATGAGATTTCGAGCGTTGATTTTAGATATAGCGTACTACGATGAAATTATACTAAACCATTAACGGTTTTTGTGTTTCACCTAGAGTTTCTGCTTAAATTTTTTATACCAAATGTTCTTTTAACTAATATAATATTAAAAAAGTTAGTGTCATAAGTTTTTGCACATAAAATGTCCCATTTTTAGTATAATGTTATTGCATTTTCAATGCAATTGATTCGAAACTACTATTATCATCTATTACTATATAATTATTTTCATCCAAGAACGTTGAACTCCTGATACTTAATTCTGATTATCAAAAGTGATTTATTTGCTCGTAGCAAAGTTTCCACTTTAATGGCTCACGAAATCAAAATACTCGTACATATATGATATGTCGTTTTTGTTTGCTGCATGTTTATTCTAGATCAAGTATATTTATATCCATGCTAATGTTTTCCTCACGAGTCTAATATATTATTGTTGAACCGGAGACGGTACACATTAATAATTACTAAGTTGAAACTTTAAGGGTGTGATCACATTGCGATAGGACAGTTTTTTTTTCAATTTTTTGAAAAACAAATAAAAATGTTCTAATATATTTCATTTTTAATTTATCAAATTGTCAGTCGAGTATAAGTTATCGATTTCTGTTTTCCTATAAAAGAAGTTACGAAAACACGCTATTTATTTGAATATCATAACATAATTTATCTCAATCCCATTATCCTGCCAAGGATAGCATTTCTCATCCTCGGCAAGATTTATCGTCAAAAACACACAACTTTTCTCGGTCATTAGCAAATAAATTTATTTTGTTCGTTTGATGATTGTCTGTTTCGCACAAATTTTGGCACGAGATCTTGTCTCTCGTCCAGATGTAGACATATCCGTCAGCGATTTTCCAATCTTTGTTGGCTTGCCTGGTTTTTGTGAGTGTGATATCTTCATGTTCTAAAGTTTGGAAACAACTGTCGCCTGTATTAAACCATGAGATTTTTTCACGCCTGGCAGTTTAGTCCTCTCGGGATTAATGCTAATCCTCACTATGTTGATGTTAGGCCGCAGGCAAATGATCTATGATACTTCCTAAACTCACGTGGCAACTCAATACCCTGTGATTTTTCATAAACTGTTAACGAAACATAACGTATTTTTATTATTTGCTGCCCGAACGAGAAATTTATGGCTTTACCAGAAAATTTGATATGCTAGTTTTATGTTTTCTAGACGTTTCAAGTCGTTCTGAATTGTTTGACATGATAATTGGAAGAAGCATGTGTGATGAAATTTGACTTTTCTTTCGCGTCTTCTCAAAAACGGCTGCACCGATTTCAAAAATATAAAAGCCATTTGATAAAACTCAATAATATTAGCAAATTCTTCTGTACAAATGCAGAGACATAAGTCTCAAATAATTAGTTTTCAACTAGAAATATTTAAATACAAAATTCCTTTTACGTATGTTTCTTAACCAATTTATTACTTATACGGAAACACCATTTGAATTAACACTTCATCTAAAGATAATTCACTCGACGTACATTGTTGTTGCCTCATGTAACAACATCGTATTTGAAATGAGCTTTATCTTTTATAATATATGACATTATTTAAGTTTATTGAATAAGATACTGTTTGTTTTTTGTATATCTTATGTCACAACTCACAAAATTAAAGTGAAATCGTTTATCTTGTAAAGTCTTTGTCGAAATAACACTAAAACGTTTTGTCTCGTGGGAATCGAAATTTAAATTTAGTATAATGGTTAATAAAAATGTATAGTTAGATAGCTATGAATTATTTGGGTTAGTTCAGTGTTTCCCAACTTTTTGGTAAATGAATATAGGATGAATGAATGATAAATGAATATAGGCAATTTGTAATTTTTAAATTACTTCTGTTCTTCTCAAATCAGATCAGATCAGGTAACTTGTTTTCTAATAATACATATATATATATATATATATATATATATATATATATATTTCAGAAATTAGAACTTTCTCTATCTCATTATAAATATTATGAAAGTGTTGTTAAGTGTATGGCTATGAAAATAGTTAGTAGCTCCGATCAATGCCAAAAATACCACCTAGAAGATTAATTCTTCTATCTTCGGTGTGCTATCTGTTATTCGATACGGTGTGTTAACATAAAATAGTTGTCCCTGTTCCATCAGCTATTTAAGTTACTACATTAAGAAGTGTTGCATTACGATAATAGTGTGTTTTATACACTGATTTTACGATTATCTTCCTACCATATGTACAATCGGTACAATGTGTCGAGCAACTCGAAACGGCCGGAAAGCTTGTTCATGATTACCTTGCTCTGTTACTAGGCCTACTTGATACTTATTGGACTTTCGACATTAATTTATCCATTTGTAATAAAAACAATCAGATTTTACTTATAAAGGGTGTCCTAAATCTTAACGTCACGCCTAAACTGGTTTCAGTATCCTGAACCTGTCCTGAAAATACTTAGAAAAAAACTAGTAGTGCATGGCATCGTGTCTTAAAGTAATTGCTGGAACTTCCGGTTCCCTAATGAAATATTCTAACTGCAACTTTCGTTATTCATATTTTATAGACAAAATAGAAGAGCTTATAAATTGAACGATGACAAAAAACAAAACTTAATCAAGCGGAGTTAGAATGATGGACCTTATCTCATATTTGAAAAACTGCAATTTTTGCACATTTAGCTCAGTATCTCTGAAACGACTGGACTTGTCTTTGCCAACAATAATCACCACTTCTCCTCATCAATCATTCAAAAAACTCGATTTCTATTTTATGCACTCTTTGTTTCCAAGTCCGAAACGGCTGGATCAACTTTTGTCAAAAACTAATCAGCAAGTCTCCTTATCAATAGGAATCGAATTGTTTTTCAATAATTCAAATCGGTTGACTGGTGCTCTCAAAAACGTCGATGAAAAATTGTATCCATGCATACATACATACTACATACACCCATACACACACATCCCTTGTTTCTGAGGCTTGCCAAAATGTTCAGAAACCCATGAAACTTGAAGATAGGGATCGTTCAAGTATTACGTAAGCAGATTTATTACAATTATTTACCCCCCCCCATCCATCTTGTCAGCAAAAGTAAGCAAAACTCCTACCCCCTACCCCCATGCTTACGTAAACATTTTGCAATTAATGTAAAAAAATAAAAATACTACCTATGACGTAATCATCACCCAGACTCCCCTGCCCCCCATGTCAACCCAAAATAAGCAAATCAACAACCCCCCGCCCCCCTATAGTGCTTACGTAATACTTGAATGGCCCCATATGCATTTTTTTTATTTTTGGCCGATTACTATAACTTTAGGAATTTTTGTTAAACTATCATATAACTTTCTATTTCTAAAGTGTGTTGGCAAGTATTATCATAAGCTGGCGTTTTTAATCGGGATTGTAAAATGGCAAAATACTTCATAATTAATACATAAAAACCTAAAAATAACACGATAACGGGTAACCATAGACCTTATATAATTGCAGCATTGAAATTTGCTCGTATAACATACATTTGAACTGCTTGTGAGTAAAATGCACTAGCAAAAATCATTTCAATGATAGGTTTTTATTTTTTTACTCGAAAATTTTCAATAATTATCAAGTACCAGTATTGTAATACCATTTTACAATACTGGTTAAGTGTGCCAACTTTTGATGAAACTTGCCACCACACTTTAGTAATTTTTTTTTAAGTAGAGCCTCTCAAAGTCTACCAATCACAATTTTGAACATGATTGGTGGGCTCATAAAACTGCCACTCGTTTTCAAACTACTAAAGAATCAATTAATTAGTTGATTAATTTATTAAATGAATAAATTAAATTTAATATAACGATGGGACATT